TATAAATAGAGCATGATGAAAACTATTATCTATATGAATAAAGTAAATAAAAAATCGTACTATTTTTCATTATTTAATTTAAATACTGATGTCGAAAAGAGGTATGATAACCGTAAGAATACGAAATGTTCAGTGAACGATACGCGGCATAACCTTCGATTAAGTTTTCCTTCGCGATTTGCATATATCAACCAAGCGATTATAATTCTACAAATTCTACGCATAACGCGGTATATATGCACAATAATTTCTCACACTGACTTATAAATTATGCATAACGGCTAGTTAACTTATAATTATACCTAATTACCTATTATTCAACCGCGACTTCTCGCGAATGCCCCTTTACATAACGTTCATTGTCATTTCGAATATTTATGGTCCCTTTCTGAAACAAGCGGTTGAAAATTCCTCGCATAATTGACGATGTAGTATATCGTGAAACGAACCGAGTATACACAGAGAATTTCGCGAAAGTTCTAAATCACTTGCCAAACGGAAACGTTCTGCTTTTCGCTAGACATATCGTTAAGGTATTTAGTATCACGTTAATATTGTCGTTGCTTCTTCCACGTTGCCACACATGTTTAGTCGACACTGTCAGATCATTGCAAGACAGATGCCCGTGCATGATTTTTCCGTGACATCGTTGACAAGTGAATAAGTAAGTTTGGCAGCTCTTGGCTCGATATTTCTTGGTTGATTGTAACTACAATTTGTGTTACAGTTGGGCACATTCTCAGTTAATTTCGTTCCTTTGTTTACCTTTCGACTTTTGCTTCTTGTCAATATTAGGTAATTTTGTCAATGTTGAGCAATTTAGAGATATCAGTATGGCTGTTTGCGAGATATTATTACGAACATGTAGTCGAACTGTAAGATTAGAGAATTATTCTAGTTTAGAATCACTTTGTTTGTGCTCGAAAATAAAGAAAAATAGAAGAAAATTGAGATGTAAGCGAAGTATACGATTGTCTAAGAAACCAGCGAGCTGAATTTTAAAATCGAACAAATAAATGTTCGCGCAAACTTCAAAAATATGAGTAAATAATTATAATAAAAAGAAAGAATCATGTATGAATCAGAAGATTATTATTATTATTAGCATATCAGATATGGCTCGTTAATACCGACATATTATAATATAAATGTCAGATATGAAAGAACGGAAGAAACAGAAAGTACAATTACAAATATTTACGATGACATATTATAATAAAATGAACATACTGTACTGTTCTAAAGAAATTAATATAAAGACTAGGAAGGCAGGATATTAGAAATTATTCACTACAGGAAGTGAGTGAAACTTGTTAACAGAAACGAGGCACGCTATTTGAAATTTAAAATTATTGAAAGCTTCGTAGATTCCACGTGTCTAATCGAATTCGAAAATTACACAAAGTGAAAGAAGACAAGCACTGGAAATTAGACGAATAAAAAGTATTTCTCAACTTTTCTTCGCGATGAAATGAACGCTGAAACGCTGAAACAAGAAATTCTCAATTCGTTCTCAGCTCTTCGAAAAGAAGAATCCCGTTTAACCAGTTATCTGCGTTCGACGTGTTATACACGTCGAAACTTTATTTCTCGTATATCGTACTGACACTCGTCATTGCTTGATTTTAACTACGCATCATGCGTGTTCCGCAGTCAACTGATTATGTCATCCTTCACTTAAACAATACCGATAGACAAGTTTCTATTCAGCGACCTGCTTGCTGCCTGAGCAACTCATACATTCAGCCGTCGCCGTATCGCGACGTGCCAGAGGCAGCTCTTCGAGAGCGGAACGGAACGCATTTCGCTTCGTTTAGGTTGTAGCACACCGAAAAGAAAAGAAGCTGCGCGCCGACTCGAGGTCTGAAAGCCGCGGAGAGATCTGGGCGGAGTTTCCGAGCTACCGAGCTGAAAGTGCGCCGCCCAGCTTCGTCCCCTGTTCGTCCTTCTGTGTTCACCATTCCCCTCTACGGGTGGCTTCCCACCCTTCGCCAGGATTTCTTTCCACGGCCGGCAAACGCGGTGTTCCTAGCGCGCAAACTCACCCCGGGCACGCAGCCACGGATTTCAGATAGACGTGCGCCAGCAGCAGTAGTAGTGGCCCACCACCGTTCCACCGCGTCTATCCTTCACGCCCGGTCTGTTCTTTTCCGTCCTTTTTCCCTTTCGTCTTTCCCTCTCCCCTCTCGATCGTCGCGCCAGGCGTGCTTCTTCGATCCGACTCGATTCGTTCGAATCACGCAGCTCTATTCTATATAGACTACGCTGTTTCCACGATGTTTGCGTGCCTGCAGATAGAACGTCTGACGTGCTCCGCTTAAATATATTTCTAGGTGAACCTAGAGCGATGGATGAATGGGAGAAAATCTTCTTGCCTCAGACGTCGAACCGTCTGATCAACCGTCGTTCGCTAGTTCATTTTTCCCTCCGGTTTCTTAATATGTTCCTTCTTCGTAATTATCGCTTTTTTTTTTGTACATTTTCTTTGTTAAACCACACATATCGTATCTATACTCGGCTCGGTACAGTTTAGGTACGAATTTCTCTCAGTTCGAACTTCCTTGTTCAACGCTAAAAGGATTAGAG